TTACGGTTGGATTACGGCTTCGTCTTAACCCCTCTGATGCGCTGCGAAGTCAAAGTTTCCGGACTAATATAATTTTCATCGGTGGAAGGAGGCTTTCGCGGCGATGCCGTAACTCGGACGGGATAGGGGTTGAACGCCCAAAGTCCCGTATTGTCCGCGACGTTAGCGTTGAACCGTATCTGAAACGCGATATAGCGAAAAGTCCCGAATAGCTTAATACCTTGGAAACGGGAGCTGGAGACTCGTCGACCCGCGAATAAAAAGGAGGAAATGTTACACAGGGTGTCCCAGATTTTCGCGCCCTCCTGCCTTCAGACTGGCAGATTTTTAGGCAAACTTTTGGAGCCAATATTTTTCCTCCGGAAAAATCCAATTGGCGCATTTGCTCCCAAGGTATTGAACTGGATTTTTACATTTTTAAAAATCCTGATGAACGAAACGGTGAATATTTATAATGCGCGTTCGATGAAGGAAAAAAAAAAGAAGAAAAGAGAAGAAAATTACGATGCACCGGGGTTATCTCCGACGTGCTGAAAATGCATCGGAGGGTTAAACGAATTGGCACTGCGCTGAGCTCGATTAAATTATCGTTGAATTTATATTCGTTCCATCGCGGAGCCTTCGTTCGCTCGCTTACGACGTAATAAATGCGAGAGTGGTGACAATAGTCCCTCCCCTTCGTCCTTACAATATAATAAGCGTGAAAGTGGTGATAACAGTTTCTGCCTTTCTTCCTTTTTTCGTACAAGCTTTACGAGGATATGAATAAAGGCTTTGTGAGCCTTAACCGGAAGCGTGGAATACAGTCACGGTCTTGTATAAAATATTAAGAAATTCTGATATCGATCTCGATCTACTCAATTATCCCATTATTATCGTGTCTGTCGTAAATTATTAGCTTCAACATGGTAATTTATGATCCTTGCACGTAAAAATATTATACATGTAAAAAGGTACACCACCGATTAAGGGTTGAAGGGTTTATCTTGAAAGATTATCCTTTAGGGGTGGCGGAAAGGCACGCTGTACTGCCCGCTCGATTTAACCCTCATAAAGATTACCCCAGCAACACGCACGCATATTTACAGTTTTGAATATTGTACACTTTGCGGGAAGCGAAAGCGGTAGAATTTCGACGAGTTCAATTTTCCGTGCTACGGAAGAATAGATTATTTTAACGTCAATCATCGTCATTCGTACATGTCGTAAATACATAACTTTTGCGTCCCTACCGCGTCTGCTCTCGAAATTTGTACACGAAAAGAATGGTTTTGCTGAAGTATCTAAAAATTTAACTGGATACTGAAAATTTTGTTGGACTATCGAAGTAATTGTGTAGAACGCTCAAACTGATTTGCTAGAATGTCAAAATTTTTTTATAACTTTATTCATTATGTTTCACTTTCCTACATAATTATTTTAACGATCCAACAAGATTGTTTTCAAATTTGTGTCTACTTAATGTCTAAATTCTAAGCAGAATATCGTAAGGCTCGTAACATGTTCTCGCAAGACTTGTAAGAACTTACAAGTACTTATAACTTTATGCAATATCTTTACAGACAGCTTCTTGCTAACCGTAAGATTTACAAGAAATTGTAGATATTTACAAATAATCATACGTCTTACGGTATATATGCATAAAATTAGAACACGAGTCATAAATTTTTACAAGTCTTACGAGAACAAGTTACGAATCTTATACGATTCTGCTTAAAATTGATCTATAAATTTTTAGATATTTTAAAAATAATTCTTTTTGTGTATACTTCGAGTTCATATTTCGAAATAAATTTCACACAAATTTATTTCGAAATTCTTCGCGAGCTTATCAAAATTAAACCGGTTCCAATCCTCGATGTTTTCACGACCGGTGATTCGTGAAAAATAAAAACTTCCATTTCGCTCTCTTGGAGAAGAACAGTTTTTTTTTCATTACACTTTGCACGCATTCCTCGCGTGCAATTAAGTTTCCATAAATCATAATCCGGCTCGTCATAATTCAGTGCCAGAATTCAAATTCGTGAATTAAGTCTTATTATTTAATCGCCGAGTCTTCGCAACTGTACATTGATTAGGATTATTTAATTAGCAAGATTAACGGAAAAGAAATCGTAGAACTGCGGTTGACGTTGAAATGCGAATTTAAGGGATCTCGCGAAAAATTTTATTGGACGTTGAAATGCGGAAGGATCTTGCGAAAAATTTTGATCCTTTAATGCGATCTTTAATTATCAGCGAGGGTGTGCGTGCGTTCGTGATTCTGATTCACGTTGAAATTGGCGTAGTTTTAAAAACAAACGCAAATTTCTATGCTTCCTATCGCACAAGGGTGCATTCGTTTAACGGTTACAATCGAAGACACAGAACATAGACTGCGCCATCCGTATCTAAATAGTGTATCAAATGTGGTCAATAAAAATGGGAGAAAGAGAGAGGGTGAAAACGACCTCCCTCTCTTTCTACGATATTGTGATTAGTTGAATAGAAAGAGAGTGGCTATCTTCGTGTCCTATTTCTTTCCTTTTTGTTGACTAATTTTACACACGGCTGGTGCTGTTCATGTTCCATGTCTTTGGTTACAATGCTTCTCGTGTATATATACTAAACACACGGTTGCCACCTTCCGACTGGTGGAGATCGACGGTCCTCCTGCCGGAAATTACCTCCGGAGATCGATTACTATTGTTCAAATTGTTATTTTTTTCACTAAAAAAAGATCTGGCTATCTACCGAAGGAATTTTTTCGAAATCGGAAAACCGATGCGTGCTTAAAACCAGGCCATTAAAATTTAGATCGGTTAGCCGGAGATTTATTTCGTTTGCAGGGAGATTCGTTCGAAAAGTCAGTGTCCGGCCAAAAATCAGAGAGCTGACAACCGTTACTAAACATCAACTATTTTAAGGCCATTTTATGGGGAGTCGCGCGGAATCGTACAGCATCAGCGAAAAACCATCCTTCGCCCCTTCTACTTCCCCAACCTCTACCTACCCTTTCTTTTCTCCCTTGCAATCTACGTCCGACTGAAATTCGATACGATCGCGATCCCGTTTCACATCTCGTCATCGGAGATTGATACCGGGGTGTAACTCCGAGTTCAATTCTCTCGATATCGCGGATACGGAAAAATAAACCTTACGGCTATCGCGGCGTCTCCATTGTCGGAAAGGGGAAAAAAAACACGCAGGTATCACTTTCGCGTGCAGCTAGTAGCGATATTTGATCTCGCGAAAATTGCAACGGTCTCGCGATCTCTCTGATCAGCACGAAACTGTAAAAAAAAAGCGACCGCTCGCTTTTACTTTTTGTTGCAATAATTTCTTTCTTGCATGATAGTTAATAATAGGAGACGAAACGATCATTTTGGTGCAATCTACTTTTTTCCCTTGCGCAAATTACAGAGGAGTTTAACGATAATCCTTAATCGCAAATATATTCATTGTCTCGATCGAAGGCTGACTTTTTCACAGTCGAGGATAATTCTCGTAAAAACGCGAATTTATTTATTTCTGATAATTCCAATGCGATAAATAATTATTTAAAAAATAAATAAATCACATGCTGCAAAATAATAATAAAAACGAAATTATATTCGCTGCTGTACGAAATATATCCCGCTTTATTGCGCGTAATTTACATATTCCACCACGCGCGTGCAATACTGAACAATACGTGTGTAATCTTAATAGATAAATATGACAAAGAATCAAGTTGCTATTTCTTATTGTCGTTTTGTATGTTCTGCGATATTACACGTAAAGTGACAATTTAGATTTTCCGCGTGTAATACAATCGTGCCACGGTCGCGACAGGATTAATATGTTCTCCTGTAATCAACGTACGTTACTTAATTATCATGCGTGAAGAATCGCGGTTTTAAACGAACAATTCACGGCGGAAAAGAACGACGTACGGTTTTCCTTTTTACCCATTTTCTACCTTCCCTCTTTCGTTTCGTGCCGCTCGAATCGGTACGCGGTACCGGTAAATTTCGTTCGCTCGCGTTAAACGTCACACTCTGTAAATTTAACCGGCCGAAATCTACTTGCACGAGGTAATTATTTGGTATCGTTTATTTAATCGTACGAAAGACGATCGATCCCTTTTTCGTTTTCTCCGCTTACCCTAGATGCAAAAGTAAACGCAATTCGGCAGATCGAACATATTTCGTCTCAGCGAAAAAAAAAGATACATAAACTAACAATAAAGGATAAAAAAAATAAAAATTATAATCGACAATAATATATTTTTTTATATAATAGTGCAATCAATACGGTATGTATATATATTTATATATAATATATATAGAATGATCAAGTTAATATTTACACTATACGTACTTCTACTGATTTTTTGCGAATCCGTGTGTTTGCACAACAATTTTCGTGTGCTCTTAATCTATCTAGCTTCTCTACCGCACCGGTATGGGGCTATGGCAACTAACGTAATAATGGCAAGTACTTGCTGACGGAAAATCGAGAGAGCTGATACTTGACGGTGGTGCAAGTACAGACTTTGTGGAATGGAGCGATCGAAGAGTCGCGATGAAGAGAGACCGATGGATCAAGGCCGTTTTATTTCGTTTTGCACAATACTGATAAATGCATCGTGTATGTTTGCTCACACGATGCATTTATCGAAATGACCAACTCGTTTCAATTCTCAAAATAAATAATTGTGTCTCTCCTTTTCGTATTTTTAAAACTATTTTTAAATCGTTCAACTCAGGCATCTTGTACACGAGACACCGATTATCCAGATGTAAAATGAGAGAGGGGAGACCTATATAATCATTATCGATTATCCATACAAAATTTACATGTGGAGAATAACATAAACAAGGTACGATATTAAAAGTAAAAAAAATCATAATATAAATATAAAAAAAATTCATATGAATTTTCATATAAATATTTCATATAAATATAAAAAAATAAATAAAAAAGAAAGCATTTCGAGACGATGAGGAAGATGACGTAAAAATTTTTCCCTGTATTTTTTTGCTGATATCGATCGTCCAAGAGATTCACTATTCAGGATAATCGGCGTCCAAACAGTTAATGCTTTACCGTACAGCATTCTAAGACTTCGAGACTTCATGCGAAATGCGCTCATTGCTCGCGACTAAGCCGATTAGCTCAACAATCCGGCACGCACAATCAACGTATGCTACATTGTATCGCACTTGTCGGGTTTTTTGTTTACGTCTGAAACCCTCTTGTCGGTCACGATACCAAACGGTTTTCCATTCTCTTCTTTCTTTTTCTTTTCTGTTACAAGATGCGCTCTTCTCACTCTCAAGATTTCGCAATATCGCGAAACGACAATCACTTTGGTGGGAACGTGCGATAAAGCTCTATTTAGCGTCAGCGGATCTTACACGCGGAACTGTGAAAATGACAAACACAACTGGAAGGGTGGGAGGGATGGGGTTTTGCTCTATTGCTGTGATCGAGTCTTATCTCTAATACATTCAACAACTAGAAACAGAGAAACACTGGAATCGTACCGCAGCCGAATATGAAAGTCTCGACCCACCGCGTGTGTGTGTGTTTGTGTATATATGTTATGTGTGCGTGTATGTGTGTGAAAGTTTTTTGTGCAAACCTATTTTTACCTATCTCTCGCGTCTAGGATGTGTCTGTATGTGTTCCTCCTTTCTTTCCTCGTTTTTCCCATTTTTTTTTGGAGTTTTAGGTCACGAGGGTGTAAGCCGTAAAACGCGTACGCTCGAGCAGGCGGAGTGTGGAAGCAGTCGGGAAGTTATTATACGAGTCCACGAATCGCTCGCCGCTTGGTTACTGCCTCATCCTACAACGTACATACATATATACACGGCTGCTGCGCAAAAACAATGTGTTCGAAACATTACTCAACATACATACTTGGGAAACTGCACGGAGAAAAAGAAATCGCCGACACGGCTGAATTTGTCACTGTCGCCGGTGAGTTTCGTTAGTTGTTATATTACGAATAGTGAAAAGACTTGCCGAGGAAGACGCCGATTCTGCCCGATAGAAATAGCTTTCTGCGATTTTGTCATTTTAATTACGATATTGCGGAATAATTATATCATGTTCTCGAGGCACTTTTGCTGCATCAACAACATCTGATACTTCTGGAGTTTGTCGCGTATCGTATCGCAGATCATCCTGCTGTAATACTAAACGAATTACAAAATTTCAACAAAAAAATTTTATACAATATTCAACAAATGATTATTAATATAATATTAATGTTAGTAGATTTAAGCAAGTCTCGTTGAATCGCTGAATAAATAGCAGCAGTGACAGTTTACGCTGTGACGGAGAAGTTCCTTCTCTCGCTGTATATGTGAGAAGGTAGAAATCGCAGAAAAATGCTCCCCTCGCGTATTCGGGGGGAAAAACGGCTCCGCACGGACGATGATAAATTTATACCTCCGAGTTTCGTTTCATCCTTCCTCGGAAGAGAGATGAAGAATGCGGCCGTGTGCACGCGATTCCGTTTCGATTGCTTCGATAAAAAGAAGAAAATAAAGAATGTATTTACACATACAAACGTCTCTGCAACATATATCATGTATACACAACAAAATGATTCGGTCCAAGAATAACGCAGAACATCCAGTGTTCAAATTCCATCAATAATTTACACAATCCGATAAATAATGATAAATAAAATTCCATGATCACACGTCCAATTTAGAGAGCGGCGTAAACTCTGATCGATAATTCGAACGTGAAAAGAAAAAGAAAACAGAAACGATTTCTGAGTGCGCATCCGGCACATAGCTGGAATATAATATACATAATATAATTTGACCGCATATCGTTATAATCCCGTTGCATCGCCGCATTCTTCTGCAGTTTCTCCACTTCAAATCTTAGACAGAAAAGGATCTACGAACTTTCGTCAAACGCGAACAATTATTAAACAAAACAACAGATCATACAATATATCACTCAAGAACCCAAAAGATTCGATATACATCTTATTTTTTCCCTTCTTTAATGCGACACGCTGCATGAAAAATGCCTTTCACTTAATATCTTCTCCCATTCAATACTATTTGTAGATATATACATACCATATATGTGTTTTTGCGCATATGAATATATATATTCATGTACACATATCTCTGACAAACAAAGTCTGCAAAAGATAAATTTAATCTCAAGGTAACTAAATGTATATATATATATAAAATATCTCTACTATACATACATTTAATGTACACATATTCGTACATATACGTGTACGTATATAAGTATACTTGTATTGTGTGTATACATATATATAAATAATATATATCTATATATAACATATATACACACACTTAAATGTATATCTCAGAGATATTTTCTACTTAAAATTCTTAGTGTCGTATATTCAGAATAGTTGTCCGGAGAACGAACCCGGATCTTTTGCTCCATATGAGACTGTTCGAGCACTGAACTGTATAGTATTTTTATATATATATGTATTTATATATAGATACACATACACACATATGTATCTATATATTATCCTCCTGAGTCGCGGTAAGCTGAAAGGCAATTTTCGTGAGCCTCCTTGCCGTACACGACATACAAAAGATACCACAGAATATACACATAGAGTAACGAATTACTTACGAATTGTCAAATTCCGAACAAAACTCACAATGATGAACGCCTCACGACAGTCCGCTCCTCTCTACTTATCTATATATGTATACCATTTGCGTAAATAAAGGTGATTTCGGTCTAAAATTATATCGCTAATAGGCGCTTCCTTTCCTCGCACGGGAGCGCGCGCGCCGCTCCCGGAAAAATTACATGTTACAATAAGGTAATTAGACTTCTTTTACCCACTAACGTAATAATTAAAAAAATCTGATTACTCTGAAAAATTCGAGACTTTTTAAAAACTGTTCCTCGGACAGTACATCTTCTATTTCGAGCGCTTAACTGCTTCCGTTTTCATTCCTTTGTTTTTTTTCACTGGTATACACCGTCGTACATTTCCGCGTGTACGCACTCTTTTTTTCTCACTCTTCCCTTCGTAAGTTTTAAATTTAGTTTTCAACATTTATCCCATCCTTATTATGCACTTCGCCCGTATGGGGGCAACTTAGGACCATCACATAATTCACCATCGCGATTAATGGAATTGTTACGCGTTAATTACGAGGTATGTTTACGTCGAAAAATTAGCAGCACGTTTACTTTTATTTTGATTATTCCACCTGTGTGAGTTTTGTATATCACATATTTTAGACATTCGTTCCGGTGTGTCTTGCAGTTCTTCGTCTTGTTGTGGTTTCCCGGTCTCTTCGTTCCGTCTCCTCTCGTTTTGTACCGCAAAGATTCGATAGATCATTGATTAACGAAGTTGCACTTGATAATACGTAAATGATCGTGACGTTCCGTGACCCGTTGGTTTACAGTCCTTTTGCTTTTTGTTTCTTTTTTTGTTGTCAAGTGAGATTCAAGATTTTCGGTTTTGCAATTTTGAGTGCGGCACTCAACGACGCGCACTGGTTGCGTTCCTTTTATACACTGGTACGATTAAGTCCCTTTTTATCAGTAGCCCTTTTCATCGAGTGCAAATTTTATCTATATGCTTTACGTTCTTTTATTGTAGATTGATGTTTCTGCTCAAAAGTAGATAATATGACTGTATTATTCACCCTCAGCGTTATTACTGCTTTGCGTTCGATATACACAATTTACATTCCGGATACATTGTTTCACACTGTGCGAACTTACATTCGTCTTATCTACGTTATCGCGGTTTTCGTTAAGTTTTAAGCAGTACATTAGAGCGTATTACGAGGCGTCGAGTGTCATTATGGCGTATACACATGTTTCTCTTTCTTCTTCCTTTCGTTTTTACAGCACTGCACTCTCTTGTTACATGAAGATTTTAAGGATTGTAGAACCTCAATAAAAAGAGTCACGTGAAAAGTTCGATTTACGATTAGCCTAGCGTTTCCCTCGTTTACACATTTAAATTAATTTGATATACCTAATACGATACTATATGTTTTACACATATGAGGGCTTTCTTTGTTATTTTATTACTATCGCCTTCTTGGCGATTAGATTGCCGAGTTCTTTATGGACTTTAATATGAAAAAGAAACAATTTTTTCATTTCTATTAAAAATCTTTAACAAGAACCAATCAAAGAGAAACAACGTTTGCAATAAAACTAATATAGGTGAATTCACATAATCTCTCGTAATTTCAATAGATTCAGAAAAAAGATAACCAATCTAATTAATTGCTTAAGGTGTGCTTAAATTAGTGGATAAATTATTAATTCGTAAAAAGTCTATTATATTATTCGTAATGTGATGTAATAAGCGTTCGTATAAAAATGGAATATATTCACGTAAAAATTAAAGCAAATAATGTACGAAGAACAAAGATGGCGATTTTGATAAAAAAAATAAATATATAACAATATCATATATCACATTACAGTTGAAGTAATATTACTGATACATACTATGTGATTTGTGATTCATATTATATCGTAATATATCATATATTAACAATAAAAATAAAATCATTGCAATAAATAGAATTTTTTTAAAGTATAACAATGATATAATGACGATATAAATCAAAGATTATGATAAAGAACTCGGCAATAAATTTACTGCGCGTGCTCGCAATATTACTGGACTTACGGCTCTAAACATTGTTTGATTGTTTAAATTATTTTAGGTTAGTTCCTAGTTGACCATAAGTGTATGTGATTCCATGGGCGCCGCACTATCGTACAACGTATCCGTGTCTTGCGTAGGTTCACCCTGTAGCTGACACTGATTGCTCAATGTTCCGGCGCCGCAATCGCAAAAGAATCTAGAAATAATTAATGCACACGATTATATTAAGCGATTACTCCACTTATGGCGAGCACGCCTAAATAATGCACGGAATCGAGCATGCAAACTCACCGATCATGTCTGATGAATTCCACATCGTGACCGGCGTGACAAGTTTTTATACAATTGACGCATATCGCGTTTCGATCCGTCGTATTACACGTTTGACAGCGATAGAAGTCGTGCATGGGGAAGGAGGTGTACGAAGAGATTTTGTATAAACATTGGCCATTCCCAACTGCTTTCTCTACCGCGTCTTGGTTATTAAATATTTTATTGCCTAAAAACAAAAAAAAGTATATGCAATACTTTTTCGTTAAAAGCACCGACGATTAGCTATTGGAAGCGAATGTTTACCTCTAGTCGTCGGTTGCACCCCGCTCGCCAGACACAGACCGCCGAATCGATTATTGAATATTTGATTGAATTCCAGGGTAGCAGTGGCGTTGTTAGTTATTTCAACACCGGCCGCCAACCCGTCGAAAATCCGGTTCCTCCTCAGGATCGGTTGCGATTGTGTCGATATAAGCACACCCGCTTGCGCATTGCGAAATATATCATTCTCCTCCAAAATACCTGTATTGAGAAACGCGAAAATCATAATTTTGTCTACTTTTCAATGAAATATATTTATCCAATCTCATCCATAATTATGGATATTATCTTTATATTACGCTGCTCAATTTTCATTGTAATAATAACTTTTTATGATCAGAGTTTAGACAATTAAAAAAATCATTAATTATTAAGTTGGAATAACTAAATTCGATTACTTGCAATGTATTTTAATATGCACTAAAACTTGTTTTAGTTAGCATAAATTTTAATAAAAACAAATAGAATGTTGAATTAAATTTCAAAAACAAAATTATAAATTATTTAAAAGAACTTTGCCGCTTAATATATGATATTCATTATTAATCAATGATCAAACGTCATTGACTAATAATACATAAGTCAAAATTTCATAATTAAAAAGAGAAAACGCTTTACCTTTGCCTCCATTAAATATACAAATTCCGCCGTCTCGTCCATCGAATATTTTGTTTCTTTTAAGAGTCGGATTGCTGTCTGTTTTAATCCAAACGCCAGCCATTGCATTGTCAAAAATTTCATTTTGTTCAAGTAAGCCTAAGCCACTATTATACACTAGAACTCCGCCGTTTTGTCCTCCCCATATCTTATTACCACGTATGACTGGATTACTGCCAGTCCTGCAGAAGAAACACGCATTCACCCAATTTTCTTATTGCTACACATCAAAGTATCTAAGCCTACAATTCTTTCGGAAGTAAAAATTACCTTATTTGTACTCCTGAATACAAGTGATTGAAAATATCATTGTCCTCCAATTTCCCGTGGCCGTTGTCGTAAAAATATACGCCGACCTGTTTACCACTGTGAATTCGATTTCGCCTTAAAACCGGCGTCGAACCCGTTGTGATCCATACGCCTGCCAAAGTATTGGCATATACCTCGTTTTCCTCTATTAAGCCTTGGCCTTTTTCATGCACATAAATACCGCCGTGCTGGCCGTGATGTATTTTATTGTGCCGGACGATCGGATCCGAGTTTGTTCTAATTTGTATACCAGCTAGTGCGTTGCCATAAATGTTGTTGTGTTCGATCAAACCTCTACCCTCGCCGAAAATGTACACTCCACCTTGATGGCCATTGTATATTTCATTTCGACGAATAGTTGGGTTAGAATTCGATGTGATCCATACACCAGCAAAATTGTTTGAATGAATCTTGTTATCGATGAATTGTCCCAGACCGTTCTCGTGCACATAGATGCCCCCGGTCTGACCATGATGGATTTCACAGTGAACAACAGTAGGATTAGCACCAGCTTTTACCTCAAAACCTGCTATCCGATTGTTATGAATGTCATTGGCTTCAAAGTAACCAAGCCCATTATCGAACGTGAATATTCCGACATCGCGACCGTGATGAATGTGATTCCGTCGCATGATAGGATTCGCGTAATTCTTCACCCAGATGCCAGCGAGGGCATTTCGTGAGATCTCATTATCCTCATATGTTCCCTGGGCGTAGTCAGTCACATACAATCCAACATTCTCACAGTCTGATATGTCACAATTCTTCACTAATGGATTAGCACCTACGCCTGATACACAAACCGCTGCACCAACTAGAAGTTAAAAATGCGTAATTTTAATGAAATTGCCAATTTATACACAAACATTGTATATGCATACATACTGTATATTTTTTATACATATAAATTTATATTGTATATTGAATAAAGAATAGATGTGAGACTTGAAGATAATTCGTTTTAGTCTTTAAAAGATTATATCTGT